GGTGTGGAAATGGTGGTGTAGACGTGGCGCTGTGGATGTGGTGGTGTGAATGTGGTTCTGTGGATGTGGCTGTGTGGGCATTGTAGTGTGGATGTGATGGTGTGGATGTGGCCGTGTGGACATGGTAATGTGGATGTGGTGGTATGGACATGGTAATGTGGATGTGGTGGTGTGGACATGGTGATGTGGATGTGGCGGTGTGGACATGGTGGTGTGGAGGTAATGCTGTGGACATGGCAGTGTGGATGTGGCGGTGTGGAGGTGGTGGTGTGAACATGGTGGTGTGGACGTGATGGTGTGGACGTGGTGGTGTGGAAATGGTGGTGTGATCATGGCAGTGTGGACGTGGCGCTGTGGATGTGGTGGTGTGGACGTGGCACTGTGGATGTGGCCGTGAGGACATGGTAGTGTGGATGTGATGGTGTGGACGTGGCAGTATGGATTTGGCTGTGGTGTGGACATGGTGGTGTGGACGTGATGGTGTGGACGTGGCAGTGTGGACGTGGTAGTGTGGATGTGGCCATGTGAACATGGTAGTGTGGACGTGGCACTAGACATGGTGGTGTGGACGTGGCACTGTGGATATGGTGGTGTGGATGTGGTGGTGTTGACATGGTGATGTGGATGTGGCAGTGTGGATGGCAGTATGGAGGTGATTCTGTGGATGTGGCGGTGTGGAGGTGATGGTGTGGTAGTGTGGATGTGATGATGTGGACATGGTAGTGTGGACGTGATGGTGTGGACATGGTGGTGTGGACATGGTGGTATGGACGTGACAGTGTGGACGTGGCACTGTAGACGTGGTGGTGTGGACGTGGTGCTGTGGATGTGGTGGTGTGGATGTGGCGGTGTGGACGTAGCGGTGAGGACATGGCATGTAAACATGGTGGTGTGGACATGGCGGTATGGATGTGACATTGTAAACATGACCGTGTGGTAGTATGGCTGTGTGGCCTGCAAAGAGCAGCTCTGGTAGGAAAGTTTGTCCTCTTTGCAAAGGCACTGTGGTGGGTTAGGGTTTAACTTTATCAAAGCTTCTGGCATGGATGCATGATATAAACTGACTTTTGTCTTTTGTTGTGGTAGAGCACTTGCTTAACTGTGTGCATGCTGTGTGTACACAGGTGTGGGTAGGTGTTCCTGTGCAGGGAACATGCTTAAAATTGTGTGTGCACACTTATGTGTGTGTGCATGTGGGTTGGCACCCCAGGAAGAAGGCTTGCTGACTATGGGGCGTGCGGGCCCATGTGTGCGTGGGTCTGGGTTGGCACCCTCATGCACCTGCATTTTGATGTTTGAAGTTTCAGTGAAGAGCTGCTTGCAGTGTCCATTGGCTTTTGCAGGTATCTTTCTTCTGTTCCTCTCAGCAAGACTTGGGGACCCAGTTCAGATGTGACTGGATATGGTGGGGGTGGGGACTGCGCTCAGCAGGGGCAGGGCGTTCATCCCATTCTGCAGGTCCTAGGAACATTTTGCTCCAGTGAGCATTTACCATGGCTTGTTAGTTCCTATACTTGATGTGAAAAGAATGGAGGTAAATATGGTAACTTAGGAATTTCTGGAGGTTGTGTTTTCCTAACACATCTGTAGGGATGTCAGGAAAGGCAGACTGTAGGTCATGTGCAGGTGGAAATGCAGTTTTACTTCTGCTGGGATAATGGCCTGTCTCCTTGTCCCCTATTCACCTCCGGTGGTTGGTGGCCCTGGGCGTTGTTACATGGAATCACCCCTTCACTTTGTTCTTCCTTCTTTCCTTCCTCTCCCTTCTCTTCTTTATCATCATTATTACTTGAGACAGGATCTCAAATAATAGATAAATAAAGCCAGGCTGGCTTTGAACTCATGATCCACCTGTCTCCGCCTCCCGAGTGCTGGGATGCGTGTGCTTGCGACAGCATGGGCACACATCGGTCTTCCTTTTCATGGTTACTTTGGCTACTTGAGAGTTCTAGGTGGATGTTAGAATTTTTCTTTCTGCAACACAAAAGGAAAAAAAGGTGGGATTTTGATACAGAATTTACTCTGTAAATGTCGCCTGTGTGTTGGTCTCCTAGCAGTATTCCTATCCCAGGCTTGAACATATCTTTTTTTTTTTTTTTTTGGGTCTGATCGTGGGGCCTGAACTCTGGGCCTGGGCGCTGTCCCTCAGCTCTTCAGCTCAAGGCTAGCGCTCTACCACTTGAGCCACAGCGTCACTTTTGGCTTTTTTCTTTTTTTTGCTTATGTGGTGCTGAGGAATCGAACCCAGGGCCTCAAGCATGCAAGGCAAGCGCTCTACCACTGAGCCACCTTCCCAGCCCTTGAACATATCTTGCTTAACTTCTTCCGGCAATACTTTGTAGTTTTTAGTGTCTAGGTGTTTTGTCTCCTTGTTAAGTTTGCCCTTAAGTCTTTATTTAATTTTTTGCTGGTCCTGGGGCTTAAACTCAGGGCCTGGGTGCTGTCTCTGAGGGTTTTTTTGTTTTGTTTTTTTTTGCTTAAGTTTATTGCTCTCTCATTTGAGTCACAATTCCACTTCTGGATTTTTGGTGGTTAATTGGAGATACATCTCATAGACTTACCTGCTTGGGCTGGCCTCCTGAGTAGCTAGAATTACAGGTATGAGCCACTGACACCCGACCCTAAGTGTTTTGTTGTTTATGATACTATTGTTCATGGAATTGTTTTCTTAATATCCTTTTTGGATTGTTATGGTTAATATAAAAATGACACTGATGCCAGGCGCTGGTGGCTCACGCCTGTACTCTTGGCTACTCAGGAGGCTGAGATCTGAGGATTGCGGTTCAAAGCCAGCCTTGGCAGGAAAGTCTGTGAGACTCTTATTTCCAATTAACCACCAGAAAACCAGAAGTGACACTGTGGCTCAAGTGGTAGAGCACTCACTTTAAGCTGAAGAGCACAGGGACAGTGTCCAGGCCCAAGCCCAGACAGAGTTCAAGCCCCATGGTGGACAAAAAAAAAAAAGATACTGATAATTGTGTGATTTGTGTCTTGCCACAACTTGCTACAATGTTTTAAGTTTGCTTTTCTTTCTTTCTCCTCTTCCTCTCTTTCTGTCTCTGTGCATATAATTCTTAGGCTTTTGTTATGTCTGTGGAAGTGGCGCTGTGGCTCAAGTGGTAGAGCACTAGCCTTGACCTGAAGAGCTGAGGAACAGCTCCTAGGCCCACAGTTTAAACCCCACAACTGACTACAAACCAAAAGTTTATGAAGTCTTGTCTGTGAGCAGAGATCCTTTTCTTTTCTGCCTGAGCCCAGATGCCTTTATTTCCTTTTCTAACGGATGGCCCTGACCAGGACACCCGTGGTGCAGTGAGTGGCTGAGGTCTTAATGGAAAAGCTCCGTCTTTCTCTGTTGGCATGATACTGGCTGCAAGTTGTTTAGTTGAGTGTAGAATTATGGGCACTTCCCCTGGGTTCCTTTCTTTGCTCCTTCCCCGTCCCGAAGACTTGCGTCCCTATTTTTACCGTGAGAGCAGCTATTGGTTTATATTTTCTTCTGATTCCTTGTGGTTTCAAGTTTCCAGTTTACCTTCTGAATGTATCTGGAGTCTGTTTTGTTTGTGGAATAAAGGAAGGGTCTGATAGTGCATTTTGAAAGTAAATATTGGCCCGCTTGGCCTGGGGTTCCTTGTCCATAGTGGCCTTCCCTTGCGGTTCGGGAGTGCCTCATCTCCCCCACCCCTCCCTGCCTCTTTGCCTTCAGGGCTCCAGTCTTCTAGGGTTGGTCTCTTTATGCTGCCCTGACACTTTTGCCTTCCTCTGGTGTTACTGTTATTTTTTAGGGGCATACCAGCAGATGTGCTAAAAGCCAGTCTCCACTCAATGTGTTTCCTGTGAAAATGACATTATTTGATCAAGGGCATTTTTTGCTTTTGAGTATTTTAGAAATGGATTGATTTTTGTTTTTGGGGTCCGGTTGTGGGGCCTGAACTCTGGGCCTGGGCGCTGTCCCTCAGCTCTTCAGCTCAAGGCTAGCACTCTTCCACTTGAGCCACAGCGCCACTTTTGGCTTTTTTCTTATGTGGTGCTGAGGAATCGAACCTAGGGCCTCGAGCTTGCAAGGCTGCCATGCCGACTCCAGTGGAGTCTGCTTAGCATGGGAAACCATCTATCAGACCAAGATAGGGGCTTCAGAAACCTATCTCTGAGTTTTGGGACTTCACCAAAGTCTACCTCGGAGAATGGGGCTTCAAAGAGGCCTACCTCCTGGAAAGGCTGGCAAACCCCTGGGAAAGATGTGTTTCTGCCTTTCTTTTCCTCACTGTATAAGAGTGCCTATTAATCTTTTACTGTTTCTGCTGTTCATCGTACTTATTCATTGTCAACGTCCCCTTATTCAAAGCTCTTTCTTAAGAGTGTTGACGACTCCAATATCTGATGAGTGTCTTAAAAATATGACTAACTCACCAGAGTTAAGTGCTACCCTGAAAGTCCTCTTATGGAGGCTAGTAGACAAGTTAGAAGTAAATATAGTATTGGGGGTTTCACGAAGTCACTTCAGCAGAAGAAATTGTTTGTAAGAAGCTTTAGGGCGACTAGAACAGAAGGAATGTGTGGTAATTGCTGAGATAACTACTTAGGAGAAAGAACTTCCTGTTACTCTCTTTCATTTACTAAGAGACTTGCTAGATCTAGGCCTCCATGACCTTACTATTAAAGAAGGAACAGGAAGGAAAAATCTTATGGGACAATTAAGGCCTCTATAGAAATAAGGTAACGGTTAGATGGTGACAAACATGGAAACCCATTATATTTCTTAGAGATAAGCCGGAAACAAGTGCCTTTCAGGCGACCAGCTGTTGACCACCCAAGAATGAAGCCCTGCAGCAAGATTGTGTAAACTTTTGCCCTTTCAGGCGACCAGCTGGTGACTATCCAAGAACGAAGCCTTGCAGCAAGATTGTGTAACCTTTTGCCCTTTCTTATGGAGACTTTTTGCTATAAAAGTTTGTTATCCTCTGCATTAAATCGCACTCAGCACTCAGCATCCACTCCTCTTGTGTGTGAGTTGTCTGTTTGCCATCTCCCCACCTATTCCAGTTCCTCCCCTAGGTGTCCTCCGTCGTCCCGACAGAACCCGGTCCGTGGCACAAGGCAAGTGCTCTACCACTGAGCCACCTTCCCAGCTCCAGAAATGGATTGATTTTCAAATCCTTCCACCCTGATAGAATCACGGCCCTGGAGTAGCCATCGTGCTTGGTAGCAGCTTACCTCTCTGTGTCTCTCCACCTTGAAGGGTTGGATTGCCTGGGAGAGAGGATGGGGCCATAACTGATGGAATATCTGGATTTAGATACAGAGGGTTAGTGCAAACGAGAAATATCTTCTGGATTCTGAGGATTCTAAAACTTCAACAACTCTAAGAATGTAGAGTGCTGTGGACAGCTTAGGCATGCAGGTTTGTGTAGATGGTTTATGTTCCTGGGAGTGGACTCCCTGGCCACATAGTAGTCCAGGTTTAGCATTTCAAAGGCTTGCCGCACTATACCCTGAAGCTTCCTGCTTCTCTCAGGCTTCCCTATGCCTCAGATTCTAGCAACCCAGCAGCTGTGTGGTGCACTGTGGCTTTGGATTTGCATTTCCTCCAGGACTAATGATGTGCAGCATCTACGTGTGCCAGGGGCATCTGTCCCTGTGTTCACCCAGCTCGAGGTTGTCTCTGTGATGCTCTGCTCTGTGAATGAGGAGGGAGCAGAGGAGGGAGCTGGGTCCTCCGGTGTGTGTGTGTGCGTGCGCGTGTGTGTGCGTGTGTGTGTGTGTGTGTGTGTGTGTGTGTGTCAGAGAGCCTGGGAGTTGTGAAGCGTCTTAGATCTCCTCTGCTCTCCTGGGGTCTGTAAGGCACTTATTCCTTGCCAGCATTTCCTGTCATTCGCTTATCTACAGTTTTACCTTCTTGATTGCCAGAACCATCAACCAGAAAAATT